CACACACACACACACACAAGCCCGCTGTACGTCCTGCAGAAACAGGTAAACAAGAAAGTGTGTGTAGAACACACATACGGGAGCACAGTAGGAGGAAGAAAAAAAGGCAGAGAGCGCTGCGCGGCAGCACAGCGGGGCTGTGAGCTGCATGTCCGTGATCAGCTCGTCATTGTGAAATGAAGAAACAGATTGAACCGGACCTGAACTTCAGTCAAACAAGACGCAACACTTTTATTCCTGATTTAAACCAGTGATCTTGTGAGCAGCTGCAGCGTAGGTTTTATTTTTTTCCTGTTAGGCTGTCGGGACATTCTGCCTCCTCTGTCCAAGGCTGTGGGGAGGACAGAGCTCAGCCGAGGCTGCGGTAAAGAGCTTCGTGGCCTGATTCCGGGAGAMAACACGAGTCAGTCCCAGACTGAGCTGACTTGATCATTTTAAATGAAATATGTCATGAATCATTGTGTGTGTCATGAAACTTTACTTTYTACAAAACAATTTGTTTAGAATGATCAGAAATGTGAGCTTCTCAAAATAAGCTAGCTGTCACGTTCTCTCGTCCTGGCCACACCTCCTCGCAAAATTGTTTTGTGTTCCCACGCAAAAGATTGTTTTGTATATGAACTGAATTAAATCAGACTTATTTTGCAATATCCGGTTACCAAAACAGGATGTGTCGCCACAGTTCGTGAAATTGACATTAATGTTGCGTGGCTGCACTGTGTTAAAATATCCGCATATGACATACTTCCATGCGTAGCTGTGTGATATATTCATTCTGAAGCTGAATTAAAGCAGTAGGCTAACTCGCAAATGGTGACCATGTGAGTTTGTTAATAAAACGGCAGGCACAATAGGGATAAACTACTTTTGCGAGGGAACGCAAAAAGTATTGCGAGGTAACGCAATACTATTGCGTGGTGCGTGGGAACGCAAAAGAAAATAAAAATCTCCCACGTCCCCTCGCGGGCTCTGTAGTGTCGGGTTCAGGAAACCGTCACATGGAAAAATTATTCTCTCCCAATTGGTTGCTGCTGCGTGTCGAGTAGCCAAAGTTCAATTTGTTGAACTCGAGCAGCCGCTGCTTCAGACGTGCCATATGCATGGAAAATGCTCTGCCACATCCTACCGCTACCTTGTGCGCTGCTCTAAACTGGCCAAATGCACCGCTAAATGCTGCGCTGCTCCTAGATGCGCGTCCACCATAGACTTTGCATGTAAACTGGCTGTTTTGGCTGCTCAAAACGCGTTTGGTGGGAACCCGGCTTTAGGACTAAACTTTGCAACCTTTCACCTTCTATGGATGCATTAATCTGGCCTCCAGTTCTAATGTAAAGAACCTTTGTGTCATTTTTGATTAGGATGCGTCTTTTAACCCCCACATTAAAAATGTTAGGACTGCCTTCTTCCACCTGCGTAATATCATTAAAATTAGAAACATCAAAAATGATGCAGAAAAACAGATCCACGTGTTTATCATGTCTAAGCTGGATTACTGTAATTCCTTAATATCTGGGCATCCAAAAAACTCCAAGTCTTCAGTTGATCCAAAATGCTGCTGCTAGAGTTTTAATGAGTTGGAAGGAGAGATCATATTTCTCCAGTTTTAGCTTCTCTCTGCTGGCTCCCTGTCAAACTCAAAATAGAATTTAAAATTTTACTTCTTACACAAAAAGCTCTTAACAACCAAGCTCCGTCCTATATCAAAGAGTTTATTGTTCCATATTTTCCTAACAGACCACTTCACTCTCAGACTGCAGGTTTACTTGTAGTTCCTTAAAGTTTCCAAAAGAATGAGAGGCAGAGCTTTCARTTATCGAGCTCGTCTCTTGTGGAACCAACTTCCAGTTTCTGTCCATGAGGCTGTCTACTTTTAAAACTACAATGAAGACTTTCCTTTTGATAAATCCTATAGTTAGGCTTAGGTTTCCTGAGTTATTCCTTAGTTCTGCTGCTATAGACTTATGCTGCGTTCACACCGAACGCKATTTCAGCTTCAAAATCGCAGCCAACGCYGAAGTTGGTCGCTTGTGCCCTTTGAGGTCAGACGCAGGTCAGCTCTTGAAGCGCTGCACGGCAAGAGCCTCCCCGCCCCTCCCTCCTCTGTCGGGCTCTGTTTAATGTAGGACGAGGAAGTGGCTTTGCTTTATTTACAGAGAGCAAGAGCATGTCACGTTCATCAGATAATTAATTCATAATTAATTCACCAGATAATTCAGAGACATTCTGAGTTTCATCACCCAGGAGATGCGGTAGAGGCTCACAGCTCGCTTTCAGGACTATTTTTTTCCAGAGTCCAGTCTGATGAGTCACTGCCACGCATTGGTGCGGATATCTCTGTCAGGACACCGACTGCAGGCACTCGATTTCAGCTAAAGAGCTCCTCTCCRTCTGTTTCAGGTTAGTGGACATCATTCAATAAACTGTCCCATCGGGAAATATGTCGCTGCGTCACACAGTGGAGTCTCTCTGATTGGTTGACGCDGCGCGTCGAGCTGCAAAAGTTCAGATTTTCTAACWTCAGCGATTTGCGCCTCAGTGCGTCRAACGCTCAGATCGTTCAAATCGTTCAAATCGCGCTGCTCTAATCGCGCTTCAGGCGCCGCAGCATTTCCCGACGTTGCTTGAAGCGCGTCCACCATAGACTTTGCATGTAAACCTGAGGCTCCTGATGCTGAAATCGCGTTTGGTGTGAACGCACCATTAGACTGCTGGAGGACAAACTGACCACATTTCCTCACTCTGCTGCTGTCTTAAGTCTCTCTCCTCTATGTTTGTTATAATTACTTCTATCAGTAACTTGTTTTGTCTCTTCCAGAGGAAAATACACCTGGACCAGTCCTGTGTTTGTGTGTCTTCCCTGTCCCTCAAACCCAGGTGATAATGTAATGGTAAATTTATGTTTAGCTTTTGGGACTTTTTGAAAGTATCTACCAGACTGTCTGTCTAACACTTGTTCTTGTTTCGAGTTGAGCATACAAATCCTAGACATACGGTTCAACAGAAGGTTGAAGGCTCCTGCATACTCCCGCCAAAGCCGAACAGTCGATGCAGTCACATGGTTTTTCGACGTTAGTTTTCACACACACACCTTTCATAGTCCCTGAGACACCCCATGCCGAGCTCCTGGGGAAACTCCTCCCGCTGCAGCACACGTCACTATATGGGGGTTCTCCAGGTCTTTTTTAAGCGAGTGGTTGAAGCAAAATGCAGAGTCAAGGGCTTTCAGCACAAACACACTCCCATGAATTTCTGACCAATCACACAATAAAGTTCTTAGGTGGAGGGGGGTAAAAAGTTCGACCCGCGGGTTGTGTCAGAAGCTGCCAAAATATCGATAATGCAAAACAGAATGACGCAATATTCGTCATGAAACCATGACAATCCAAACCCATTTTCACAGTTTGGAGGGAGTATGCAGGAGCCTTTTTTTCCTTTTTCGGCACTCTCTTGCAGATTGTACCGACACTGTAAGATCTGTGCTCATTTATTGCAATTAACTTCCTTAACAAGTGGATATAGAAGGAGATATGATTAGAATTTATCACACTCCAGATAACTCACTTTAAGACCTTTACAGATGAGTTAAAAAGCATTGATGAATTTAATAAGTTAAGTAGTAGCATTTGGTACTTAAAATATGGACTCCATATACCAACCTGCAAGGTTTGGAGCTGACTTTTAGCCCCTTCCTGTTCCAACCTAAGCCGCAGAATCTTTTTCATGTCCATGTTGGGGGTCCAGGAGAAACTCAAGTCATTAGGGTTTGTGTAGCTCTACAACAAAATACATATAACATCACACTTCAACATTTTTAAAAAGTTTGTTTGCTTTGCTTTTATTTAGAATGTTAAACACTAACAAAGTAGTTAACGCAATGCTCTGAAGAATAGATGTGGCCCAAAATGTTGTCTTGCGGTAAGTTTTGTTGACAGACATGGCAGAGGTACATGGATTTCTGATTCAAGCACAATGTGATCAGAGATAAACCTGCAAGAAAGAACACATTTTATTGCAAACATGCTACATATTTGATACTTAGATTTTTAGTCATCTGTAAAATTTTGTACTGTGTGACTAAGGAACAAAAAGACATTCTCACCCACAACTGGTTGATCAAATTTATGAGCCATTGTTGCGTCCATAAAAACCACATTAGGCATAACTGCTCAAGAAAATAAAGGATAAAAAAAACATCTAAACACTTCTGTCAGGGAAGTAACTTGTTACACATTGTGATTGGGTGCAAAGCTAACACAAAAAGGTTGAAAAAAAACAGAAAGCAAACTTACCAAAATTGGTAAAGGCAGCTAAGGAAAAAAATAAGGGTTAAAAAAAAGAAATAAACATTTAGAAAAATATTTTGTGTAGGCTTACTAGGTACAAGTCTGAGCGATCATCATTCATCATCAGTAATATTTAGATATAAAATTTAAAAAAAGAGAATCGAAAATTTGATTACCTTGTGGGAAAATTTCCTTCATTTTCTGTGGGCAGGGGAAAAAAAGTGGATTGTGTTTGAGTATGTGTCTGTCTAAACAGATCTACACAAGTTAGTGAGAGTAAGAAGGGGCTCTCTGCTGTCACTAGGTGGGCTGAGTTTAAAAAAGATACGATTTTCTGTTTTGACTTTTGTGGGAGGAGTTTGTTAAAGACACGATTGGTTGGACTGACAGAAAGGTGCTAGCCTCACAAAATTTAGATGCAGCACACGGAGGAACGTGTAACAATATAGTTTGGTCAAAATAGCCCTAACCACATTGTTACATTAAAAAATAAACTATAGATAGACAGTCAAATTACATTTACATGTTCATGATGATTTTAATATTACTGTTACTTAATCTTTTAAGTTCCCCCACAAATCAATCCGATCAATCACTGTTTAATCAATCTCTGCTCACAGCCAAGAAACTCCTACGTACAKGTGCTTGTCATCAAATTAGAATATCAAGAAGTTGATTTATTTCAGTAATTCCATTCAAAAAAATGAAACTTGTATATTATATTCATTATGGACAGACTGATTTTTCAAATGTTTTTTCTTTTAATTTTGATGAATATAACTGACTAATAATCAAAATCCCTGTACAGCACTCACTACTTAATTGGGGCTCCTTTTGCCTGGGTTACTGCAGCACTGCAGTGTGGAATGGAATCAATCCGTCTGAGGTACTGCTCAGGTGTTACGAGAGCCTAGGTTGATCTGATAGTGGCCTTCAGCTCTTCTGAATTGTTGGGTCTGGCATATTGCATCTTTTTTTACAATACAACCGTAGACTGTCTATGCGGTTAAGGTCAGGTGAGTTTGCTGGCCAATTAAGAATATGGATACCACGATCCTTAAACTAGGTACTGGAAGCTTTGGCACTGTGTTCAGGAGCCAAGTCCTGTTGGAAAATGAAATCTGCATCTCGATAAAGTTGGTCAGCAACAGGAAGCATGAAGTGTTCTAAAACCTGGTAGACAGCTGCATTGACCTTGGACCTCAGAAAACACAGTGGACCGACACCAGCAGATGACATGGCACCCCAAACCATCACTGACTGTGGAAACTTTACACTGGACCTCAAGAAACATGGATTCTGTGCCTCTGCTCTCTTGCTTCACACTCCGAGACCTTGATTTCCAAAGGAAATGCAAAATTTACTTTCATCAGAGAACATAACTTTAGACCACTCAGCAGCAGTCCAGTCCTTTTTTTCTTTAGCCCAGGCAAGATGCTTGTGATGCTGTCTCTTGTTCAAGAGTGGCTTGACACAAGGACTGCGACWGCTGAAACCYATGTCTTCATACGTCTGTGTGTGGTGGTTCTTGAAGCTCTGACTCCAGCTGCAGTCCATTCTTTGTGAAACTCCCCCACATTTTTGAATAGGTTGTTTCACAATCCTCTCCAGGGTGGTCATCCCTTTTTCTGGTACACTTTTTTTCTACCACATCTTTTCTTTCCCTTCGCCTCTCTGTTAATGTGCTTGGACACAGAGCTCTGTGAACAGCCAGAATGACCTTTTGTGACAATGACTCCTTTCTGCTTGGCCTTCAGAGGAGCAGGACATGCTTTCGCTCTCTCTGCCCCCACCCCCTTTCCCGGCTTCTTCTTTTTCAAGCTCTTTTTTCAACTTTCATCTGAAACTAAAGGAAGTATGGATTTGGTTAATTGGACTCTGAATGACATCGACAATMAATTTTTTTTCTACACTTTGAACAAGGGGAACGTGTCTGTCTGGGTGGAATGGTTGCAGCTGGATTTGTCTGTTTCCTGGGGCTAGAATCTGATATGTCAGCACCACTTTCCATCGAAGACGTGGAAGATCTTTATTTAATTGGATTAGGATAACTGGATTCCTGCTGACTGGCGGAGGAGGGTTCCAGATTTATCGGAAAGTGAACGCGACCCTGACAGTGGTTTGGGCTTTTGAAGAGCTGTCTAGCGCACCTGAAGGATTCTGCTGGCTGGAAGCACACAGACTCTCAGCTGGGGGAAAAATTCGCAAACTGGATGTGATTGATGATCACAGCTCAGGAGCGACCCTTCAGCATTTATGGCCACATTTGGGTGAGCTTCAATCGGTGAGAGGCGAGGAATGACCCCAAATTTGGCTGATTGGCTTTTTTTTCCCGCCACCTCAGAGTTGCAGTAAAGACACATAAAAAGCAGCAGGAATTTCAAGGCTGCTTTGTTCCAAAACAATTGGATTACCTATCTGGCTTGCAGTGGCACGGCCTTGAGGGCTGTGCTTATCTTAATCTCCCCAGGATGAAATGTCAAATAAGAGCTGGATTTCCTCCCAACCCCCACCTCCCGTGTTGGACCTGGCCTTGGAACTCAATTGGCTGAGGAGGAGGAAAATCTCTGAACTCTAGCGAACTGAGTAGAGACAATAACATCATGTAACTCTGGACTCTGGATGGGCCCAGCACAGACACCACCCCCTCCCTCAACGTCACCTACTCCTCTGAACCTGCCTTATTTTACATCCCCTTTGTGTGTTATCTGACCTAAGCCCCTCCTCCCAGGCTGTCTTGCCTTCTCACGGGTTGTTCAACTCAATTTTCCTTGTGTATTTCAAGCTGTTAAAAAKGTAGCGCAACTCTGTTTGTTGCACGACCGGTTTCACCTGTTCCCCCATGTTTGTTATGTCTCTCGAATGGGTGTTTAACTGCCCCCTCCCCTCTTCCCTGAATGTTCAGCACCTTGTGACTTTATTTCTGTGAACGGTGCTATATAAATAAAACTTTACTTTTTGTGTCTTGTCCTCGTTATGCAAGATGTCCACGTCTTTTGGACAACTGTCAAGTCAGCAGTCTTCCCAATGACTGTGTAACCTACAGAACTAGACTAAGAAACAATTTAAAAGGATTTGACGGTGTTTTGAGTTAATTAGCTAATTAGTGTGGCACTAGATGTCTCCGATACTGAACTTTTTCATAATATTTTAATTTTCTTACATATTAACTTTAAAGGATTTTAGTAGCTGTCAGATATAAAAATTTAAATTAAAAAATAAACAGTCTGTGTGTAATGAATGGATATAATGTACCAGTTTCACTATTTGCATGGAATGATTGAAATAATGCAACTTTTTCATGATATTCTAATTTTATGACCAGCACCTGTACTACAGAGACCCCTACTTGGTAATAGTTCCTTATTGGACAACTGTAACTAATCAGTCGTCTTGCATGGTTCTCTCATCCTCAAAATTGGTCATAAGGGAACCAAACAAACAAAATAGAAAAAAAGGCTGCATTTTGCTTTGCAAGAAGTGGAATAAAATATGCTCTCGCTCATGTTGCTGTATAACGCCTTTACCAGTGGTGGGCAGCGCTAACCCAAAAATTTGCTCCGCAATTTCTAAAGCGCTTATAAAAGTATTTAGGTCCGCAACTTCAAAAATGCTTATGCCATAGAAAAAATTAGTGGAAGCTAATTTTAAACCGCAAGTTCAATTTGACATTTACTAGCTGGCAACATGTCATGTACAATACATGTACAACACTGCCAACTAGTGGTGTTTGAACCCTTGTACAGCTTAATCCTACAAGCACCGAATACTGGGGATATGATTTGCTGAAACTGAACTTTGGCTCCTGGTGTAAAAATTAAAAGGTTCTTGAGGATTGCTAGTTTGGCTGCTTCTTTGTCTTTTTCTTTTGTTTGTTGCAGATTTTTCATTAAAGCAGCATCACAAAGCAGTTTTAAAACTGTATTGGAAAACTGAAGTGATACATTCTGGGTACACGACGGACTGGCGGGAAACAAAAGCACGGGGAACAGGAAATTAGTATCTTCCCTTCAAAACAAGAGCTTGGATTTTAAAGTTTTTCATGTTTCCAATGGATTTTAAACTTTTCCAGTTCACCTGAAACTCAGACTGAAGAAGTCTCTTGGAGGGGAGACGTAACGTTTCACTTAAGAATAACCCATCCAGAGGACCTACTTGTTTTTTCTTTTTGATTTTTTTTCWACCTGGATTAGGATTTTTCCAAGTAGTTGCTCCAGTTGACCACTAGATGTCAGTCTTCACCAGCATAACATCTTTAAATCATTTTTAAGTCTCTAATACCGTTGGCCGATTGCTTTTGAGGCTTTTGAGTTCCAGCCTTTAAACTTTATTTAAAAAAAAGGAGCTCCGGTTGTAAAGTTAAATAAATCAATACATACAAAATTTTAGTATGGATTACAAACGTTTAACTGTTTTTGCTGGGAAAGGGAGTACTAAACATTGCCTTCCTGCTATGTAAGCAGACACAAAGCATTGCAGGAAATGAGAATCTTGACCGAGAGCAACTGTCAGGATACATTTCCAATACGTGTGTTTATCTGGGAGGGGTGCTGTTAGACACATCACCTGTGTTGTGATTCATTGACAGCCATACCTTCCACTGTTCAAGATAATGATGACTGGTAGATAGTCATTAGCGGTACTGCATTTTAATTTTAGAGAGCGCAAATCCGCTTATGAATAATAAAAATTAGTATGACCGCTAAAACGCTAACGAAATGTTTAGGTCCGCGATTAGCGGATTTGTGTTTTAGCGGACTGGTGCCCAMCACTGGCCTTTACACAAGAATATTTCATAATGACAATAATGTGTAAATAAAAGCAATGCTCACCTGTTTATGTTCCACTGAACGCAAATGTTTCTTGAAATTAAACATTTGGTAAAATCTGAAAGAGCAGACCTAAAAGAGAAATAAAATAATCTATAAGCGACGGCGACACTGGTTTATATTATTTGAAATTTACTTGTTAAGACATTAATTGCAAGACTTTTCAATGTTTGTCTGATTGTTGAGCAGTCTCAAAATATGGTGACRGTATACAACAATTATGATGGCATGAGTCACATGAAGTGTTGCGCCAAATTTTCTGGTAATTTCCAAAAGGCTGCTACAAAACTGTAACAAACATTTAAAGCTCTTTCAGAAGACGCCCCATAGCGGTACTGACGGGTATTCTGACCACCTCAACTCATTTAGAAGACAAACAGAGGACATGGGGAGCAGAGACACCCCTGTCTGTCTCACCTCCTAAACTCTGAGCAAGGTTAAAATATATATATATTAAACTCAGTAGTAGAGGTCGACCGATACAGGTTTTTGAAGGCCGATACTGATATTTTTATACATCAATCTAACCGATACGCTGATATGTGCAGCCGATATTATTTGGCCGATACTACTTTTTCTTCCTCCATTAACATGATAAAAATAAGAATGATAACAAATGTTACACAAGTCTTAATTTAAAACAAAACAAAAAAAACATTAACTAAGCCTTGTCTGATGCAGGCTGTATAAAGTGCTGCCACACAGGATTTCCTCTTTTAAAAAAATTTAAAATAAATAAATTCATTATTTAGCCTCCCTCCGTCTAAGGGTGCGGGGACGGGTTCTGACTGTTGTCTGTGCTTACGGGCCGAACAACAGTTCAGATTACCCACCCTTCTTGGAGTCCTTAGA